TTTGCAGATTTTTTGGTATATCTTGTCAAAGCCAAAAGAAGAGATCCATTAATTGTCCCCCTCTTCAAATTTTGATTGCAGTTGATGGATCGACATGCTTTTTTAACTCTCAAGCCTCAAGCCCCCCCCCCCCCCCCCCAAAAAAAAAGGGGGAGGATGTATAAGTAAAAGATTCTTAAAAAAAAAAATCTTACACAAATCTTGCATTGTGATTTTTTTTTTCTTTTTGATTAAGGTTGCCTCAGTAATCATCTGTTACATCTTTGAATTCCTACTGAGATGGCACCTGAAATTAAAATGTAATTAAAATTCTTTGTTGAGCTTGTAAACAGACAAATTTTAATCTTTACATTCATAAATTCAAAACTTAATTAAAGAGAGAAATTTAATGTATTTCAAATGGATGCTTAGGAGAGGATCCTCATCTCTCCTCCTCCTCACCTCTAGTCCCCCTCCTCATCCCCAGCCCCCCTCCTCAACCCTCAGTATACCAGAGGGCAATTGGTTAAACATTTTTATGTTAAATATCTGTTGAGTATGATCTTGATAAAATGTTTATCAATGCTATTTCAGGACATTTTCAAAGTACATACTACTGGTAGTAAATGTCTTAGAAGTAGAATCTGTGAAAAATAAGACTAGCAGTCCCTTGGTTAATTTGAGGGAAGGGAAGGAAGGGGGAAGGATTCTGTCCTCAAGCACCTGCATAAAATGTCATTCCAATGTCATCAAATACTGCATCCTCTTTGGAGAGTCTTTTTACTGAAGACAACTGAATCTGTAATTCTTTCATTCATAGGCTACATGTAAATCTTTTTAAGAGTGAAAAAGTATTAATATGGTATTTAATCCTCTTTTCTGTAGTGGAATATTACACTACTGACACTCTCTGGCAATTTGTATACATGTGGACTATAATGCAATAAGGAACCAGAGACCAACATACTAACACACTATTTCATCAAACAAAAAATAATTATTACATCTCCCTATTTTGAACTAACTATACAAATTTTATGGCTTAAATTAGCTTGATGTAGTACTATCTAAATAAATCTCTCTTTTATGGGGGGATGATAATTAAAAGATTTGCCAATTCCTGATAACAAGCTTCTTCAGAAAATTGTATATTTATGTACTATTTATAAAATGATCCAAAGAAATGATAATTAAGATAAACTTGTCCCTTTAACACACTTAATCCCCCCCCCCCCAATTTCTTTCTTTAATTAAGTACATGCATGTCCATTATGTGTATGGTACAGCAAAGATACATTTGTGATAACTTTGTAGTGCTATAAATAATATTACCTGATTATTAACAGTTGATAATTTTATTCACTGGCGGTCTTAGAGGGGGGTGTAGGGGCTGCAACCCCCTGCCCCCTAAAATTTCCAAAGATTAGGTTACATGTGAACTTAGAGATATACTTTATATTAAAGATAAAGAATAAAGGGATAAACTATCAGGATATATAAAATATGCATATCAAAATATGTTGGAAAAAATAAATGCCTTCATGCACTAACCTCAAAAATTGAATAAGAATGGTTTTATTTATAAAAATGGCAATCATCAATCTGTAAAAATTTAAAACTTGTTTCCGTGTCTGATGAATTAAGGTAACTTAATGAAATGTCTTTAAAAATTTTGGAATAAAATTCCTTGATCTATAGATTGATTTAGGAAATAAAAAATAAGCCTTTCTATAAAAAAAAAAGAGCATTTATTTTTAAATACATATCTTCATCATTTGCACAATAGAGAGTTTCTAACTCAAATTTTTTTTATATGCATGCAATTTTTTTGCTCAAATTTCCTGAAAATACATGCATTTGCTATGGAGGATAATTATAAAGTTGTATTTTACCCCAAGGCTTAAAATCTCTCAAATTCTGGAGCTTCCTCAGGCTTTTCCCCCTGGACTCCCACCACAGCTTGCCCTGGACCTACTGGGGCCCTCAGGCCTCTGAAAATATCCCCCTCCAACTGAAATTCCTGAATCCGCCCCTGTTATTGATAACGCATTTCATTATGCTTTTGTCCACAATTTGATGCAACTGTTTAATACTTCCATGCTGTAAATAGCTTTACATATGTTATGTTATGTAGAAAGCAAAAATTAAGTTCAATCTAATTAAAATTAGATGTTAGATCCGCTCGCATACTCGCTACACTAACAAGTATGCGAGCGGATCTAACATCTAATTTTAATTAGATTGAAATTAAGTTCTGTTGATTTGAGGATGCAGCTTTCCAAAGACGATCTCGTCTACTTCGTTGCTAATAGAAAATGTAAAAAGTTAGTCGTCTAAAATTTTGCAACACTTGTCTTTTTATAAAATAATGAATCGATATAAGTTTTTAATGATTCTAAACTATACAAACTCAAGAGATATTACAGTTACTGCAGCTGGAGTCAAATTTACCGGGTAAAGAGAGCACCGGATGTTCAATGAATGACATTTTGGCGGGAGTGTTTACGATATAGCCGAAAATTTCCCGGATTATTCTTTTTTTTTCTTACTACTCCGTTACGCTGCAGCTCTTCTTGGAAAAGGTGTATAGTCACCGATAAATGAAATTGTAAGCCAAGTTTAAAATTTTAAATCTAGCCAGAAAAAAGGAAATAGTAAACTTGTCAATATCAGAATGAGAAGGCATAGATACCAGGATTGTGAGTCTTGGTTTATAATTTATATGGGTATACGTACCTTGTGTAAACTTTTCACATATCAGCATGGTCAGTATGTATATATATTTAAAAACCAAGACCCAGGCAACTATGTAAAGGGACGTGTTAGAAAAGATGAGTTGGTCACACAGGCACTTGTTTCTGTAATAAATTTTTAACCCATAGTATGATAATAACACAAGGTATATCTAACTCCGAATTACACGGAGTACCCCCTCCCCCCAGAATCGCACTCATTTACACTTCAGAGGAAATACACTGACAAACTGTTTATACCTATGTTTTCTACGATAATTTATCTACACAACCATATATGGCATGCTTGTCTTTATTTTCTTTAGTCCCCGTAAACAGCGTCAAAACTCTGCTCGCCGTGTGGAAAAGCCGAATTCAACCATTTTCAACCATGAAATGGTATGTGCTAATCCCGCACACAGATTTTGATTGGCTAAAAATCTGTTTCTAAAATTACATCGGATAAACATCGTAATGTTTTCAGGGAAAATCAGACGTAAACAAGTTCTATTTACTTATGCAATATTTAAACACTGAAATTGAATTTTTAAACCCACTCATTTTTAATTTTGTTCTCTGTGCGGGATTAGCACATACCGTTCATGGTTGAATTCGACTTTTCCTCACGGCGAGCAGAGTTTTGACGCTGTTTACGGAGACTAAAGAAAATAAAGACAAGCATGCCATATATGGTTGTGTAGATAAATTATCGTAGAAAACATAGGTATAAACAGTTTGTCAGTGTATTTCCTCTGAAGTGTAAATGAGTGCGATTCTGGGGGGAGGGGGGTACTCCGTGTAATTCAGATACCTTGTGTTATTATTATACTATGGGTTAAAAATTTATTACAGAAACAAGTGCCTGTGGTTGGTCACTGGTAACTTAGATTATGATACGTTTAACTTTTGGTTTACACGAAATAAGTCTAGCCAGGGACGTCTGTGTATAAAGTCCCTGGTCTAACTTTACGAATATTCACAACCTTCATGAACAAAAAATAAGTCATGCTTCAACCAGGGACCTATATACTGTATATAGGTCCCTGCTTCAACATAACACTTTTAGATTTTAATTCAAAAAGATTTTAACACAATTTAATAGAGATAGAAAACGTGATATCATAAACTGATACAAGGATTTGAACCCAGCCCCCCCCCCCCCCCCAACACCTCTAACGAGCTATATTTGGCCGCCGGTAAATGAAATTGCTACCACATTCACTCCCCCTTCTCAAAAAACAACAGCCTAGGTTCATCCCTGACCATGCTGAGAGGGACTACCACCAGAGCTTAACTTGGCCACAGTCCACACTCTTAATTAGGAAACTTTAAAAAAAAATATTTGTTTGCCCTCTTCCGACTCAGGATGATAAAATTGGGTAGGTAGGTAGGTGTGATTTTTTTCCTTGAAAATTTCAACATCAAAGCTGAATTTTCAAAATCTATTTTCCTGAATGCATAAAAAAAATTATTGTTTCCTGGAGGTTAAAAAAAGTTTTATCCAGTCGGTCAGGAGAGGGCAACCAAACAATTATTTAAAGATAGCTTCAATGGGTTCATTTTTATGCTTTGCTTTGGTAGATACGAAACCTGCTAAACAGGGTATTGTCCTGTGCCATCACTGAATGATTTTAACAAATTGAACTTAAGTGTAAAGGTATGAATTACATCTGGCTAGCAATGCAGGGCCCTGGGTTTGGTGCCCAGGCTAGCATTAAATCTTCTCCCTCCCGTTACCAGGTTGGTCACCCTATTTATTTCACATCTCTCTATTCCTTCTATTGATTATTCATCATATATATGTAATTTTCACTGTTGTTGAATAATTTTTATGGTCTGATTTTTGAGAAAAAATAATATTGGTGGTATTAGATAATGATTAGAGAATGATGGCCTTGGCATTTCTTTGTGCAATAACAAGAGTAGAATATCTAGTAAATATGATATTGCTATTATTATTATTAGCCAATTTAAAGATAAGCATTTCAGGTGTAAAGAATATTATTTTAACAGCTGAATGCAAATGTACACAGCATATAATCTGTACAAATTGGTTGTTAAAGATATTTGACCATCTTTTTTTCAAAGTATTGTGTCTATGTCATAAAAAGGATTTTTGAAACTTGTATCCATTGTATAGAAGTAACTTGATAAAAACTGTCATATTGACAGTATCAAAGAATATAGGATTAAAATATCATTTGGATAATATCAGTTCAGATTATAGCATCTCAACATACAGGTACATTTCAATGTACTATGTACACTGAATAAAAAATAGACACAAAATTTTATTTTCACAATTTTTATTTTGAAAAAAAAAAAAATCAAAAGCATAAGGACTCTTGTACATATAATAACAACTTAAAAACAAACAAGTACATGATTCATAACAAAACTTCAAACACACAGCATAAATAATATACATGTACTATATAGTTTTGACAAACTTCATCATAACTTTTGATGTTACACACTAGGTCACTAAAACAGTGTTGTACAACTATCCGTGCCTGTGATTGGAAAGTTTTCTAAATTTTGTGATCATAAAAAAGAAAAAACAATCCGCTTACTGCTCTATTTGGGTTAAATAAGATTAACTTAGATGACATAAAAATTTGTTTTTCATCCACTGACGTTTTACATTCTCGTTTCATATTAAAGCAATAGCATAGATGTCAAGGTTACAAATTAAGGACAGACGATACGTTCCTCAATAATATATAATTTTTTCTAAAAATTTTTCATTGAAGTATTGCTACTTTAACATGTTTACTCACAAAAAATTGAGGTACCTTACCAGGCATTTGTGCAAGATACCAGAGGATGTTATTTCCTATAAAATCCATTAGGAAAAAACTTAATTTGCCAATATCACATTTTTTAGTGTTTCAATTTTTTTAAGACAATTAGAAACAAGTTTAGAAATCAGAAGGTAATTAAAATTTGGAATATTTTCCATACAATATGAAGATATACAAAACCGATATTTCAGGAACGTATCGTCTGACCTTAAAAAGCATTCAAGCCAATAGACTACCTTTCTCAAACTCTCCATTTAGACAAATAAGCAGTCATCCAAAGAAGAAACAATTCTGTTTTGAGCAAAATTCAAATTTTTAATAGTAAAGTTGCTATGAAATTTATTAAAGGAATTCTAATAATAAGCCATGAAATCACAGCCAGTCATAACTATTAAACAAATTAACTGACTTGTGTTTCTAGGTAGATATCAGTACATGTATTTCTGAAGCAATAAAAATTGCCAAATTATGATTCAAGATACATAATGTCTCTTACAGAGACAGCATGCAATTACAATTACCACAATCAATCACTTCTTGAAATATCAGTATATACATATAAGCATCAAATATTAATGCAATAAAACAATTCCTAACACAGAAATAAGTTTGTTTTATAAACCACTACAATACTGAAAACAGAAAACTAGCAATATCACTGCAAAATTTGTTATTCACCACATTTACATGGTGTTCATGTTAAGTTCATGTTTTAAAAAATAACTATTCAGTTAATAAATAATGACTAATGCTCTTTTTTTTTGATTAACCCTTTGGTTATCTATTACATGGTAAATTTTATTATAATCATGCCATTTCTAACGAAGTTAAAGACTTCATTAACAATACACTATGTATTTACAGATATATGAATTGTAGAAAAAAGGATCTTATTTAAATTTCAACATTGGGACATTAAATTGTATTGTCATTGCAATGAAAATGTGGGTTTTTATCTTTAAAAATGTGATAAAAAAATAAATGCAAGAAGAAAAAATGTCGAAGGTACTCAATACTATACATGTACATAAATTAAAGTGAAAATATTAGCTACTACTTACATCACTGTAAGAAAATAAAGCAATGAAATTAATTTAAAAATTAAAACAAACTGGCTACAATTTTGAAAATAAAATTAAAACAGACATACATGTATTTCCATTCGAAGATAATTAAGTTACACCTATCTGACTAACAGCTTTTTTTGTTTTGTTGTCCTGAATAACAATAATTTTGTCCATAATTTAAAGTTTTTATTTCTTTTCTTGCAGCATTAAACATTACAACCAACCATTTTTAAAACATAGTTAATAAAGACATTGCAAGACCATTTTATATGGACTAGAAAGCATCACCGAAGTTCAGACCAAACTCGAGTCAGAATCCACGATTTCTCCATCGGATTCCATACTGTAAATATCCTCGGAGTCATCACTAGCCTCTGGCGTATCGTCCACGAGGATTTCTCCAGTGAGAGCTACCCGAGCGTAGTCATCCGTGTCTATGGAACGACAGAAGTGGATGGCATATTTGAGCTTTTCCAGTAACACGGGTTTACAGGAATAACGAGGCATCTTTAGCAGGAAGAAACAGGTGTAGCTTTCTGGCAGGAAGTGATCCGGTGGGTTATATTTATCCAACACCTGTGGAAAATAAAGGTCCAAGTATCATTAAATTGTATCAACCTCTTGGTTTAAATTTACTTTAACTGGTATTTATTTTCAACATTTGATATACACTGTATACATGTACAATGAAGATTTGGAGCTCTTGGACCATTGATCAATGAAAACATATTACTAGGATTCTTCTTGAATTATTTCTTGAAAAAAAATATACAGTCAAACTTCATTATCTCGAAGTCGATGGGATGAAGAAAAAACTTTTTAAAAAATTTCCAGAGTATTCAAGATATTGAAATACATTTAAGAAAACATAGCCAGGACTTTCAATTAACTTTGAGATATCCATGCTATTTGAGATATTGTTGTTCAAAATATCAAAGTTCAACTGTATATGCATGAATGTAATTATGTGCAGTTTTACATCTTTTTCGTCCCATGATCCCATTTTTGGGTAATCTAACTAACAAAACTGACCTGCAGAACAAAGTCTCTCCCTCGGAAGTCTGCTATGGACCTGGGGAGTCGAGTCCTGCCCCACACAAACCTCAGGAAGAGGGACCTCTCATTATTAGAGAGCTCCTCCATCACCTCCCAGAACCAGGTCACCAGGGGGGCATTAGCGTCCACACCTTTGTATGTAGCCACAGACTTCAGTAAATACAAAGGTATGTCTGGACTACCACACACCTAAAATACGGAATTTCATGTAGTAAGATGAGCAAAATACTGTGAAGTCACTAATTTCTAAGGGTAGGGGTATTTTTATTGTTTTCGTGGTGTAAAGAGACCCCCCCCCTTCCCCCCAAAACACACAAACACAAAAATTCATGTCCACAAAATTGTAATATATTTTGTCTACCATATTTCTTCAATCATGAAATTAAAGTCCCAAAACCCATTATTTTTTCTAAAATCTAAAATATTTGTGCCCCAAAATACAAGTGATTTTACAGTCTAAAAAAATTAGCTTTCTGGAAACTGCTTTTCTTGCCTCTTGCCAAATTTTGTCACTCATAAAATCAATGCATTTTTATCAACTGCAAGCAAAAATGTGTTCTAAATGAATCTGAATGAATGTGATTTAATAAAGATTTCAATTACCATGGTTTCCAATTCCAGCCCAGTGAACAGTGACAGGAGAGGTACTGGGATGACCTTTGACATACCTTCTCTGACCCACCTGACCTGGTCATCAAATTCATGCAATCTGTGAAAAAATATAATTGGTTATAAGCCACTTTTTCTTCAGTAACCTGGAACTCTGTTGTTAAGAAATCCAATACACTGTACAAAAAGCAAGTTTTGATAAGACACCTGAGAATCAAAATATTTCCACACACTCTTTTAGTGACCCAAGTGACCTAACAAGAATATAGCAAAGTCCAGCAACTCCTTTATTGGGGACCTAAGAGCTGTTTAGCAAACTGCCAATACATACTAACATACATATACATTTAGTCCCATATAACTACATGTCCCCTCCAAATCCTGTACAAAGGGATAATATTACTCTTCCAAGAGAATCATTTTTTTTCTTATCACCAAGCACAATATCAATGCAGATTTAAAACTCTGACTACTGCCTATTTACAGATTCCAAAACATTTCAGGGTCATGCTTTTATTACCTGTAATTAATGGCCTGTTTGATGTACTCGACTTTATTTGCTGGAGTTATCTTGCTGTATTTGGCCGACAATTGTACCTCCTGCCCAGAAGAGCTGGGGATACTGAATGGCATTTCTACTGCCTGAAGTTTTTCATCCGTCAGATCTTTTATGCATATCAGACCTAAAAAAAGCCAAATCAACAAATCTTTTCAAGCATACCGACTTTTTCACCCATCACCTACTAATACCCAACAAAAGTCTTACTATAAAATAATTTGTAGCCCCTTGATATCCCCAAAGCTTTGTTCTAAAAGAAGTATCACAACTTTTTCTTTGCAGAGAGAATGAAACAATTTCATACTTTGAAATATTGACTAAATTCAACAATTAATGGTAGGTGAAAATATAAAATACCTGGCACACAGTCTTTATCAATCTCTGCCAGGTCTGATAAACTGAGAGGCATTCCAGCCACTTGTTTCCACACAGGCTCAGCAATGTTCAGACTAAGAGGACTTCCACTTCTAATTGCTATGCCAAATAACACACCTAGAAAATACAAGTAAAACACAGATAAAAAGCTTACCTGAACAGAAATATAACAATAACATCTTTTCTCTTTCTTTTAAGGAATCATCTTCGCTAGCCAAGGGTTTCTGATACGTTACTCTCCTCATAAGCCCTTGGCATACGGTGTTAAAAAAAGTTGGGATTTTTTTCTCAAGTTGTGATTGGAGTTGATCGACATCATTCGACCAATCAGCAATTGTTTTTTGTAAATGACGATATTTGCGTTCGGGATATATCTTGACTCTTTCATATCGGGAATGAAAAACGCGAGTAAACAACGATCCGTAAGATAACATGCCATTCTATGAATAGCTATATGGTGTCATCCGATATCTTAAGCTACGTGCAAAATATGTCATTAAGAATGTAGATTTGCATTTTAACATGTTTAAATAACAAATTAACATAACTCAATACATTCTTGTTAATTATTCTTTAAAAACATTATTTTTTCAAATATGCTTTTTATTTCTGTTGATGATGCAATCTGTGCGTAACCTGGTAAGAAGCGTGATCACGTGACGAAAACAATCCCGTCTTTTGTCAGCACCGTATGCCAAGGTTTATGAGGAGAGTAGCGTATCAGAAACCCTTGGCTAGCGAAGATGTTAAGGAATAAGAAGTTTAATTTTAAAGTGTAAGTTTCACGTCCAGGTAAATTGTCAGCTTCTTCCTTGTAGAGTTCAAATGTTGTGACAATTTTAATGTATAAGCAGGCTGACAACAACGTTTTGATCACAATCCAAAACCTAGGACATAATAAATAAAAAAAAAATCATACCCAGGAATTTGAACATGTTGACATGCACTGGAGATTTGGCCATGGGATTAAAGATAAAACAGTCTCTGTTTGCCCCCGACTCTCCCCGTCCATTGGGGGTAACAATGAGGAGAGGGAGGGATCCATTTTGTAACTCGTCACACATCTCAGCCACGGACTCACTGTATCCCCCTCCACAATCATCCACACTCTCTCCTAAAGGTCAGAGTTCAAAATTAGTCCTTTATTCTGTGCATCATTTAAATTTCTAAAAAGACTTCTAAATAAAACTCACCTGATAAGACTTGTGCTCAGTTTCCATGGTATTATTTACTTTTATTTAATAAAATAAGTTTCATTTTTTATGGAGGCAAGATCTGCTGTTTATATGAATATTATTTATTTAAAAAAATACTTGTAACTTTCATTCTTTATGGAGTCGAGACTAATACTAACCTACAAACTTGACCTTCCAAACTCTGTGTGGCAACATTAGACTGTCTGCTCCAAATGAGGATAGTTTACTGGCCATCTGACCAAACACAGACTTGGTGCCGTCCGGTCCAGCATACCCTCCCTTACTACGAGCCCTCTTCACCTGAAATCAAAGGAAAGTACTGAATCAGGTATATATATCTTATTCTACAGGTTTGTCTGGGACAGAGAAAATGAAATGAAATTTAAACTAAACAGTAACCAAACTCCATGCATAAGGGTTGAATAATTGCACTAAAGAGTGTTTGCTTGACTTAAGTTTTCCTCTCTCTCTCTCTCTTTAAGAATACTACGAATGCAAAAACCCTGGTACTTATAATCCAAAGGCAACTATGAATTCATCAGCAGGCAGGCACAAACAAGTATGACTAGTACATTAGGATCTATAAGGTACATTTCCATGTATTTCAATTTATAATATTTCAAGTGTACCTTGCCCTCTTTTTTACCTGTAGTCAATTTTTACTACACTACCCTCCCTTTTTGGAGCTGCCTCCTGTGTTACCTGCATGTTTATAATCAGGACCCTCCCTAATCAATAATATGTGTATACTCCCATACCTGTAGTCGATTAAGTTCCACCACTGGTCCATGCTGTTTGTCTCTCACCATGGTTGCTTGTACAACTTTTCTGAAGGCGGCCTCCTGACAAATCAAAACGTCACATAAAAATAAAGCAAAGTTAGCATCATACCATATTTTTGATCTCCAGAAATGGCATGCAGTCATAATGAATAGAAAGTCAAAAGTTGATAGCCGTTCAGTATGCACTGAGATAAAGCATTAGAAAGACATACTGTACTAAGTTGACATAGAATTACACATATCCTTCCACAAGAGTTGTACACATCACAAATATACCTTGACTGAGGACACAATCACTCCTCTTAGATTGTCCAGTCCAGTGATTATGTCATTCCTGACCTCTCCTTGACTTCTGTGCTGAAGGTCAAACATGGGAATGGATGGACAGAAGACATCAGAGAAATGGTGGAGCAGCATCAGGCGGTTCCTCAGGGCCGTGATTGGAATGCTCTGGAGGTGGTTGTACTCCATGGGGATGGCGGTGGGCAGTTTGCCAGCACTGACCGCTTTGTTAGTGGACCAGGCTAAGCTGTGGGCAGAGCCACAGGCCACACGATTGATCTTCTTACCTACATGCACATTGTTCAGATAAAAGTATCATAGAGAATTACACAGAAATAAAAGATATTAAATTGTGCCAATAATTCTACACATGAATCAATACAGTTGATAATGTAGAACAAGTTCTGACCAAAAAAGCTGCTGGCTACAAGTTTTTTAAAAAAAATTCTTGTTGAAGAAGAAAGTCGTACACACCTAGCAGTGACACCACCTGGCGGGGTCTCTGGATGGCATTGGTGGTTCCATCTCCTAACTGTCCTTCATCATTATCTCCCCAAGAGTATACTTCACCTAAAGACATGCAGAAAGTCAGTACATTTGTGTTATCAAAATTTCTTTTACCTAAAATTCTGATCACAATAGGTAAAAAAAAAAAAAACATGAGTTATTTTCATGAATGTTTGTTGTACAACAAAAATTCTCAAAATCTGGAGTACCGGTACATCAAATAAATTTAATAGAAACTTCATTACTAAATACAATTTTAGAAAGAAACTGCACAGTATACAGGTATATATTTTAAATTTATAATATTTTATACAGTCAAACCTGTATTAAGAGACCTTCCAATGGAGAAAGGAAAAAAGGTCACATATGACAGGTGGTCTCTTAATACAGGTTGCTTATTTTCCGCAGGGTTCAAATGTACACAATGCTGAAAATATTACATGTGTATGTGTATTTTATAACATATTGTAACGAAATCGAGGGTATAAGGTTATTACTTAATCAGTTAATCGTGGGCCGCTGTTGGTTACTGGTAACTGGTCAAGGTTGAAATGGTTGTTCACAAAGTTTATATACAATCGGAATAATGACCAATTTTTGGTCCACTGAATAATTGGCGAAATGACCAAATTTTAGTTCACTATAATATCTGCACTTGAACCGTGATGAATAACACGTTGTAAAGTTTATGATATTTATTAAGACGATCAAATGGTTCAGTTATAAGCACAATGATACACTTGGCTGGTACAACGTTATTTGGTTAATACAAAGATGACGAACCAATGGGCAATCCAGGACGTTTCTACTCTGAATGACTCTTCACTAATGATTTCGTATACATAGACTTGGTACTGTTTGTACATACCACTGTCTTACACCCGAAGTATACGGAGTCGCAACCCAATGCAGACTGACTTCTAAACACAAAACAGCTGTCTTTTATAGACAAAAGTTGTTATGATGACGTAGAAACGTCAGAAACCAATAACGTCACAAGTAATATCTGATTTGTAAGTTAGCGGGTTTTAACCACTAAAATTACTAAATAACGTTGTACCTATATAGAACATATACAACATAACGCTTTGTAATTACAATACATAAATCAAATTGATAAAGTTCAAATAATAAATCATTGTTCAATTCTTTCGTTCATTGTTCATTGACAAATATTTTAGTAGTTTATACACATCGGGTTCAGGGTCCGTTTATTCGGAACTTGTCAACAACAGTTAATCCGAATTTCACAGGTAAACTTATCGGAACGTAACAATATTCTGTTTATTTTCGCTTTTTAATAAGCACTGCTAAACTCTAAATGATTTTACATTATAGGTACAATTCAGTAATAAAATTTGCTTGATCCGCACATGAGTTTGATTATAGGGAAATATTGTGAACATCTGAAAATATTAATTTTTTTTATACAGTATAAAAAAGCTGCAAAGATTTTTTTCTAGTATTTTTTTTACATGATAGCCTATAATTTCATATGTTTTACACATTACTAAAAATTAAAACTGTATCATGATTTTTTTTATGCTCTTGGTAAAAAATTAAATTATATTTATGACTAAAATCTATTTAACCTAATTAACTTTTTTACTGAACTACCGCGCGTAATTGCCTGTTTGTCACCAGGTACTTAAATCACTTCAATTATCACCTGGCATGGGTGCTAGCTAGCGTGTGTTTACATACCCCGTTTGTGACACAATTCACTTAAATAGACATCTAGGATTTATTACTTGTTAATTAAAAGTTAAACAGGCAGGTTTATAGCTGAATATCCATTTGGCCCTTATAGCATGAAATGATATCGGGATCGACCTCGAACGTCTATTTTCAAAATGGCACTCGATCATTGGAGAGAAAAAACGTGAATGTTTATGTATTAGATTTTAATGTTTATTCAATAAATATCAAAACGTAAGTAAAAATATTTATTTTGAAATGTTGTTTTATTCGTAAAACTCGCATTATATAATTATTAAATAAAATAATTGCGTGTCTGTAGATGTTTTGAACCAAAAAACATAGCATGCTCGAGCGAAATCAAAAGTAGGAATTGGAAATTATAAAGTCGTTAAATCCAGGTAAAATTGCGTTGAAATTACAAAAAATGGTCAGGAAAATCACGGTCGCTGGTCGCGTTAGACAGGTGGTCGTTTAATACAGGTATAATATATAGGGAAAAGCGTTGGGAGGAATTCTTACGGTCACATATGACAGTGAGTCGCTTAATACAGTGGGTCGCTATGGCAGTTTTAACTGTATTTCTGATACCTGTCAGGTTTGCTATAAACAAGGGATAATCGATATGGATAACTGGGATAAATACAATAAATCATCATTTACAATATCATTAATTTACCAGTATCTGTACAGGCCACACAGTGGAGGGAACCACAAGCTACATCAATGACCTTCTTGGACTGGAGGGCTGAAACTCGACGGGGACGCCTGACGTGGTCATCAGATCCATGACCTAAACGATGGTAGTCTCCCTTACCCCTAAAGGTGAACAAGTCATTTAAAACATTTCAGACAATTTGATTCGGGAAAATTTACACAAGGTAGAGCCAAATATTGAGAGAAAAAAGTTAACTTGAAACTTTATAAAACTTGTTCACTTATTATTATGTATTACCCGGTATACATATATGTATATGCCATTCCAAATGCAGAAATAATTCAAACCAATGTAGCATTCATTCAATGAAAATTATTTTCCTTACCAAGTAAAGACGGCTCCACTTTTAGTCAGTGCTACAGAGAACTGAGATCCACACTCCACTTTAATGACCCCCTGACCCATCAATGTGTCGATTTTCATTGGCACTTTGCAACCATCACTTCCTCCTCGACCTATTAAAGATACACAAATCAGCAGTTTTAAAAGACAATGAAATCTTCTCCTGATTGATTACAGACTTTTGAACAAAATACAAATTTTCAAAAAAGGTCAACTACAGCTATGTCTTATACACATACATGTATATTGTATATGTCAGAGTGGTAAGAAATACACAATAGAAGAAGCGAGGACTTACCCAATTTTCCATAATCACCATCTCCCCAAGACCAGACATTGTCATCATCAGTGATACACAGAGTCTGGGCGTCGCCACTACCACATGCCACGTCAATTACGCGGTATGATTTCAGGGCCTCCACCTATGATCAAAATAGACATCAAAAATAACATTATTCCAAAGATAACTACATAACTCCTTATATCTGGGTGTCAAAGTTGGAAAATTTGTTAAACTAATATACAATTTTAAACAAAGTTCAAGAAATGTCTTTCTTTGAATAGAATGAAGATAAAATGCTTTCTTTAGTACATCTAGCCAATCGACTAAATGGTATCTTTCAGAATGAGAGCATATGCCAAGTTTCTATGCCAACCTACCAGTTTTGGGCGGGGCTGATCTTCACTGTCCCCATGACCCAGACGACCATAGCGTCCCTTGCCCCAGGTGTACAGTTCCCCGTTAGCTGTGATGCAGGCACTGTGCGCCCCTCCAGCTGCTATATCCACCACCTCTTTACCTCTCAGGGAATCTATCACCCTGGGTCTGTCACAGGGACTATAAAACAAAGAGAGAGATAATAAATTTACATAATGTGGGTGTAAGTTCAGAAGTCTAAATGAGAGTAGGCCTCTCATTTTGATAATTTTTTAGGAATATTACTTGAAGTGAAATCAAAATGAGATGCATAAATTTAGTGTAGTTCATCAACGGACAAACTAATTTACATACATTTTAAAAGATCCAATTTACTTAAAATGTAAATTGAAGTAAAGAATCACTTTTAATATATTTTGATAGAATGAAACTTAATTAAAAAGATTTACATGTACTATGTATGTCCCGCTTACCTTCTGTTACCATGACCTAGTTTCCCATCCTCTCCCTCTCCCCAGGAATACACCTCACCCTCTGCAGACAGAGCCAGGCAGTGCTTCCCTCCAGAGTTGACGGCCAACTTCTTAATAAACACATGCTGAATGGATTCCAATTGTGTGGGGTGGGAAACAGACTCTGTCCCTCCAACCCCTAGCCTCCCACCAGCCCCATATCCTGTAGCAAACACCTGTAGGAAAAAGACAGGAATCTAAGTCTTTTCTCATACTCAAGACTTTGTTCATTATCAACTTTATCCAGTATTTATTTCCTTGAGTCATTGTCAAATTAGATCTTAAACAAAAGCACAGTATTCTATGTGTGCATCCATTTTTGTTTTATATATGTGTAACGTATAAATACTTAGATTTGATATTGAGGTACAAAGTGATGTCATATCTGTGAGAGTGATTGGTGATCTTTCAACTGTTAATTGAAAAAACCCTGAGTGAAAGAAATGGCCCTGAACATCCAATATTACAAACCTTTCCTTCAGCTGTCACTGCAAACAGAGTTTGCTCCCCTCCTACCAACTGAATCGGCCTGGTGACCGCCAGGCCCTCACAGCTGACTGGCTGCTTGACCTTGGCACCATCCACTCCCCCAAGCTGCCCCCTGTGATTGTGTCCCCATCCCCAGATTTGACCACTTCCTCCCCAGGACAAGGTCCACTCCTCCGGTTTCCTGTTCAACCACAACAGTAATTGTTCATCCTGTTCTTGTTTGAAAATTTCATGATTTTCATGAGCATTTGTATCCTCTTCTTCATCACATGAAATGTCCAGAATCTTTTTACGGACCTCCTCCAGGAAAGAGACTGGCAGGGCGGTCCTTTGGACGATCCCTGTAGCGACTCGTGCTGCCATGCAGTAGCGACGGAACCAAGCCCACTTGTGTGCTTCACTGCAGCAGCTCAGTTTGTCCAGTTCAAGATCACAGGCTAAGGCCACTAGTACCTGGGAAGAAAACCAGCAAATTGTGGTTAATATGATGTACACTGTGTGTGCTTGAGGAGACTTTCAAGGTATAGAAAATGAACTAATTTTTAGAAACATTTTAAGAGTGATGAAATACATGTATTACTGTTCAACATAACCAGGTACTTAATTTATTCATCTAAATCAACAAAGATTCCATCTCTTTATCTTTATTGGTAAAAATCCATGCAAAATATAATATCTAAAATATATAAGTTTCATGCAAAATGATCTCCTGATAAATCTTGAAATAATATTATCCCTACTAGCATGTCTGCACACTAGTTCACACTGCACTATACCTTAAAGAATGGGCTGTGCATCAGGTGCTTCCCACTCCTCACAATAGGATCTTCATAGTCATACTGTCTCTGTAGGGCCTCAGGTAGACCCTTGACAAGGGAGGTCACTGAGGAACTGTTCAGAAGCTGTACAACAAGGAAACCCAATATATTGTTATTGATAATGCTTCTAATCCATTCAATTACTATATTCTTCTTTATCATGTTTCACACAATGCTTCTTAAACTTTAAGTACTGTAAATTCCTTATTTTACGCGAGTACTTAATATCGCGAAGAGGGCTCTTAGATGCCAAATCGCGAGAACAATAATTCGCGAATGGACGGTTTACAATGAGATTTATCATTAATTTCAACACCATAAAAATAAAAGCGAGTAATTTAATTTCGTGAGTGGTGCTCCTCGCGTAATTACGCGTTAATTAATTCCTCACGTATATTTAGGAATCTACAGTAGCATTTATCAAGTTAACAAGAATGGGGGCAAGAGATGACACCATCTTCCTCAGAATGCATGTGAATATCTGAGAGATAATATTATATACATGTACTTACTGCTGTAGAAGATCGAGATGACAGGTCAGGTTCTGATGTCTCTACAGTGGGACTGGCCAGTAATGTGTTGACATTGACGATCTGGTCTGAGGTGTCTGAGGTCATTAGTTTCCGTAGTTTCTGTAAAGCCCACATTCTCTGGCTGGACCCTTTAATGAACAGAAACTATCATTATATCATGACTCTAAGTAATTAATTTACTTAATAGACATATTCATCTCAACTCAGATATTGAAAATGACCATATATAATGTTCAAGCTAATAAACTGACCACCCAAAACATTTCATTCTTTTTTTTTTCAGGTAACCTTGTCCTTTTGTTAATAACTTTGGGCCACATTCAAGACACATCCTCAGGTTATAGATTAAATTTTTCTCAGGTACAAACTATCAAAGTACTTTTTCAATCACGTTCACATACTTTTTTTTGCCAGTGACTTTGAACTTGACTACCACTGCTGTGGGAGAAAAAATTTATTCACTGAAACCAACCTAGTGAACTCAGCTGGGCATTGGCAGCCAAAGTTGCAGCTAATCTGGTGACAATATTCCTGGCCAGATTTATGTCCAGTTTGAAGTCCAGAAGACAGGTGACAAGGTCTATGGAGGGACGTGACAGAACTGTTCTGTCAGAAAGCATGTCCATGGGAGCAGCGGCAGGCATGATGGGATAGACGGTGAAGTACCAGCCCCAGCCATTTACGGAGCCATCGCTGACAAACTTCCATCGCAGCTCATCTCCATCGATCCGGAGCTCCTGGGACCAATCAGACCATTCTCGCCCTTTAAAAAAAATTAGTTTACTGTAACTTTTTAAGAATCCCACAAATCTACTTAAAATGATCTACAAAACTGAAATAATCTTTTTAGTTTTTACACTATTACCTATAATTCAAGACTAAGCCATTTTTCATAAATCTTTCATTTATATGATTTAATACCAAACTTTATAATTTTCATAAATTTAATTCATAAAATATAGAGCTCTTTACCTGATTTGACAGCCAGGGTTCTACCAGAACTGTCAGAGATTGTTAAGGGATCATGTCTCCTCTCCGTAGAACATCTGCGATCAAACTCCACCCGCAAGGAATCAGCTCCTACAACATGAGTGTTATCAAAATGTGGTCTTACTTAATTCACATACAAGTACGATCAGATAAATGTCGACCTGATAGTTAATGAATTCTATCTATCTGCACCAAATTAATGTACTATCCATACACTTGGTTATTCTGGTGGCTTTTCTAGCTGCTTTCAGTGATTTCATGTCCTTTGCTGCTTTTTAACTGTGCCACTAAGTGATTATTTACCTGGGATTTTGACTGTGCCACTGAGGGAGGTATCATCACTGTAGGGGTGGGGACATTCCTGTACCACGGGTTGTGGTAGCCTCCCACAAACCCGATCTGAAGCCACATCCTCCAACTCTGTAACACACAGCTCCAACAACATCTCAGCCACCTTCGAATGAAAACAGTGAATTTAAGTAAAAAATAATTATTCCACAAAATAAAAGAGTGGATAGAGGTTTTAACTGCAGGAGTGATTGTATGAAGATCTACTACACATTGTCCAGTTCTCCAAGGTATTTAATATTTGTCTGCAACATCTTAGATTTCAAAGATAAAATGTATGAAATGACAGCTCAAAGCTATAACAAAACTTTTACAAACATTGTGGCTTAAAAGCTTGATTTCAAGGACATGAATGAAAATTGTAAGAATATGAATTCTATCGTCAGCTGATGACCCTGCCCAATGCAACAGAACTTCAAGTGACGAGAGAGCACATCACATACATGACTCATTCAATAAAACAAAATGGGAGACCTACCTGAGGATATGCCTTGGCCAGTCGAGTGAGAATGTCTGACAGACCCTCTTTGGCCAAATCTCCCATTCTGGATGCCACAGCAAGCTTCAGAAGTTCAACCAAATTACGAGCATCGTTAACAGTCATTCGAGCAGTGAAGTCATCCAGACCTGATGGGAAATTTGTTGGGCCAGTTTCCATAGTACTCATGACCTCATCTGCAGAGGTCAAGGTCTCTGCTATGATGCTTGTTTCCATGGGAACTAAAGCTGCCAGACTTTGCATGCTTGTGTATGAGGAAATTTCTGAGTGCATCTAAAATTATCAAAACAAAACTGCCATTATTTTGAACGTTTCATGACTTTCCCAAAGAGAATCTGTTTAGGAACTTTTCGGTCACAAGTGAGTAGAACAAGAGGCCCATGGGCCACATCGCTCACCTGAGCACATTGGCTAGGAAAAAAGCAAAAATCAGTTCAGTATTGAAAAGTTTACAGGGAGGGGGGTGTTGAATTTTAAACTACCGGTACCTGATGATACTTTCATATCAATATAACAAATGGCTTTGCTGCTCTTGAGCAGCAGATTTTTTCCCATATATTCATTTGTAAAAATTTGATTCCCCATTGTGGCCCCACCCTACCCCTGGGGGCCCTCATTTGAACAAATTTCATTCTACACTACCCATGGATGCCTCCATATCAATTTGACAGAGAAAAAGATTTTTTCCTATATATTTCTCTGTAAACTTTGATCACCCATTGTGGCCCCACCCTACCCCCGGGGGTCATGATTTGAACAAACTTGAATCTACACTACCTGAGAATGCTTCCAAATAAATATGACCAATCATGGCTTTGCTGTTCTTAAGAAGAAGATCTTTAAAGATATTTTCCTATATATTTCTATGTAAAACTTTGATCCCCCATTGTGCCCCACCCTACCCCCGGGGGTCATGATTTGAACAAACTTGAATCTACACTACCCAAGGATGCTTCCACATAAGTTTCATCTTTCCTGGCCCAGTGGTTCTTGAGAAGAAGATTTTTAAATGATGCCATTATTTTTTCACTAATTCCTAATTATCTCCCCTTGAAAGAGGGTGTGTCCCTTCATTTGAACAAACTTGAATCCCCTTCACCCAAGGATGCTTTGTGGCAAGTTTGGTTGAATTTGGCCCAGTGGTTCTTGAGAAGAAGTCAAAAATGTGAAAAGTTTACAGACAGACAGACGGACAGACAGATGGACAGACAGACAGACAGACGGACGCTGGACAAAATGTGATCAGAAAAGCTCACTTGAGCCTTCTGCTCAGGTGAGCTAAAAATGTGTGCAATGAATTCTAAGCATCTTGTGAGACAGGAATCCATAAGGTATTTCAAAAGTCCGCTTTGTAAAACCATTTTATGTCTACATGGTATTTATTAATTTTGTATAAAACTTACCCCACTGACAGCTTCTGTGACAGTCTCCCCCACAGTCAGCTGTATGTCGGCATGATCCAGCACCTCATCTGTCACCCCCTCCTCCCTGTCCATGGGAAGCTCGTCAGTACTGGCTGCCGGGGAACCTGTCATACCCAGTGGTTTCATTTCTGGAGAAACTGGCACAGGCTGGCCATCTGTCTCCAATGACTTAACTATGGCATCTCTGTAAAACATGAAAATTAAGTCTTGTGAATGAAAACAATGCTATTGTTGACAGAAATAGTGTCTTATTAAATACTTACTTGTAAGTAAATTACATTTACATCTTGTAAACAAACTCCCCCCCCCCCTTCCCCCATGATTTACTTCCTTTTTTACACAAGGCTAATTAGCCAATAAATTCAGAGAAACTGGGATGCTTTTACCTGGAGTACAGAATCTGTAGAGCAGTCAGAATGTAACCCAGGGCCTGTTGTTTACTGGTGTCAGTGTCCTGTGAGAGAATGATTTTGGCCAGTGATGGACGTGCAGCTTTGGATGTTGGGCTTTGTGAGGCAGCGGTAGATACAGAGTTCTCATCAGCATTGCTCTCATTCACACCTTTTTGAATCAATGGGAAAACAACATTACTGCTGAATGTTAAAAATGAAATGCTTAAGAAATTAGTATATTCCACCTAGATTGGCCCACATTTTCTGCCTTCCCCCCAATATCAGTCAAATCTTCATACAATAGGAATTTACAATCCTAATCCTTACCCAGAAGTGTTGCCCCCAAAGGATCCCTAGAGGTAGAGAACAGTACTGGTTCATGAGTGGTGGGAACAGACATGTCGGTGGTGGCCCAGGCAATGCTGTGGGAGGAACCACAGGCTACCTTACTGATCTTGTATCCCTCCAGCACCACCAAGGCTGGCTTTCTATTGACTGTGGTGGTTCCATTTCCTTGTTGTCCGTGGTCATTATCTCCCCATGCATAGACCTAGTCATCAAGTCATAGTGAGAAAATTTGAGAAATTCAAATCCTTCAATCTATGCAATTCAAAATGTTAAAACTACCGGTATTAGGGCAGTATACTTCCATCTGTCTAATCCTGGTTCTTGAGACTGATTGACTTACATATGTGTACTTAAGCTTGTGATACACAAGCTGTGGGTATATGTTTACTCCTCCTAAAACCAAAACCTTTACAATATATAGATATCTGCCCTAGACCAGTGATCTCTAGACAAAGAATGCATCCACTGATATCCCCCCCATCCCTTGAATCCCCCTCCCAAATACCAAGTATATTTATAAATGCTTGTCCTATGTATGTGATAACTGCAACACAATGGAATATGAAATTAATAACTCCCCCCTTCTTTGACGTATTCCTTTTGCTCACCAATCCCACATCAGCAACAGCCAGGATTGCCTCATATGCTACTCACTCATCTGGCATTCATTTTTATTGTTAATGAATGATTTACCATTCCGGTGCCAGGGACAGCCAGTGAAATTCCTCATCATTTTACCTCATTTTGGACCCCTGCCCTTTGTTTCTAAATGACATACCTGTCCCGTGTCAGTGACAGCCAGACAGTGGAGTGCCCCCACTGCTACATGGACAATTTTCTTCCCTTTCAGTCCCTCCACAATCTGTGGCTTTCTTACATGAGCATCTGTTCCATGGCCCAGTCGAAAATAGTCACCTTTGCCCCTGAAACAGAAATTCAAGTGCATCAGTATATCACATTTTTATCACTCCTCCTCATTTTCTGTATCCTATTAAGTTTTAAAATTAAGTTTCAGGTTGCTGCAAATTCTATTTACCGGCAGGTATGATTACTTTGACAAATTGGTTGTAAGAGGGCAATGGAATCATTTCATGTACTCTTTATTGAGCACAGACACATGCAACCCAAAGGGAGTCCATCTCTAGTACATACTGTATTTAGTATGGAACAAATACTCACCATGTCCACACTTGTCCAGACTTGGTCAGAGCTAATGAGAACTGGGCACCACATTCAATCTGCCACACCTTCTGATCCCTCAATCTCTCCACTTCATGAGGAACATTACAACCCTCACTCCCCCCTCGACCCAGTTTTCCAAAGTCCCCATCCCCCCAGGAGTAGACAATGCCCTCGTCTGTGAGGGCCAGGGTCTGGGCATCCCGACTCCCACATGCCACCTGTACCACTCGCTGATGGGCTAAGGCTTTGACCTACAATAAGAAAGTGTCCAGAATAAAGCAATCTCTCCAAAAACAGACTGAAAAATTTTCTTCAAATGTGGATAACAAAATGCAATAAAAATTCTAACTTCATTTTGATTAGTCCCACCAATAAAATACTGTAAACCAACTTTTATTCGCGTGCGAGGATATCTGCGACTTTTGCCACCTATGTTAACTCGCAAATAATAATTGCCGCTAACTATTTATTTTGCTTTGTATTTGTAGAGAATGATTCCTCAGTCGCAGAAATTAATCGTTGCAGATTGATTTCAAACTGACGAATCGCAAATAAAAGATGATGCGAATAATAGTATCCCCAAAGCCTAACCTGTTTGGGTTTCAGCTGTGTTGTATTGTCTCCATGCCCAAGTCTTCCATACTCCCCTAGGCCCCAGGTGTACAGATCCCCATTAGAAGTAATGGCAGCACTATGGGAACTCCCACAGGCAATGTCTCTCACACGCTTTGATTTCAGGGCCTCTATCAGTCTCGGTTTATCACAGTTCCAGCGGCTGAAATGTCCCAGTTTCCCATCATCCCCTTCTCCCCATGAGAAGACCTTTCCGTCAGTTGTTAAGGCCAGTGAGTGTCGGCCACCTATTCCAAGTAAACAGGCACATTGTGAGTGTCAAGAATATTCCCTATCTTTCATTTCAACAAAAATCAAAGAATTTTATAGCTTTTTTTAAGCATTTGGTTTAAGGTTACCTGTAGAAATATATTTTTTTCTATTTGCCATAAAATGATTGAATTGACATTTTTGTGTATGATATGATGACATATGCTTGTTGTTACCTGAATGGACTGCTACTTTTTTCACAACATATTGACTCAGAGAAGTGATTTGCCGTGGAACAGAGACAGTCCCTGTGCTGATCCCCAGACCTAATCTCCCATTGGTGGCCTCACCACAGGCATAAACTTTTCCTTCTTGGGTCACTGTAAATTGAGATAAAAAAAATCCCTACTATGAAACCTAGAAATATCAACAAATGCCTTTGACTTACCATGCAATAATTATAAAAATCCTATCTAAATGTTCAATACTGGTCTGTTAATCATATTTGTTAAACTGATTTTACAAAACTTAAACCATTTTCTTGCATATTCCATCTATAGATAAAATATCCTTATGCTTTCATAACATTGATAGTATAGGGTCTGCATTTCTTTTTTCAATTATTTCTTCAAAATCCATCTCCATGAAATAGTACTAATCATTCTAAAATTAACTGCTATGCAATCTTTTATCTGTGCTAAATGACTCAAACCTTACCACAGAATAAACTTTTGGATCCACCCACAATCTGCACACATCTCAGAGCTGACAGATTGTCATTCAAAGTTGGAAGTTTAATCTGCATGAAAATTGGCTTCATGACATTTAATTTTAGATAGAACAAAAATTGTGCTGGTTGCAGAAATCTGACTTGCTGACTTACCAGTGCCAGCTAGAAATGCTTTTTACTCATACAATATGTCATATAAGTACATTTTATAGATGAAATGGGATTATTAATGAATTGCTCTTGTTTGTTATTTTACAGACCTTTGATCCTTTAGGCCCGCCCAGTTGATCTTTGTCATTCAGCCCCCAGCAGAATACATTAGTCTGGATTTCCTTAGTTGTTGATTTCTTCTTCTTTTTGACCGATGCACTATTGACCTTTTCCTCTTCTTCCTCCTCCCTGTCTGATGCCAGGAATGAAAAGTTAGCGGCTGCATCATCCTCATCTGACCTTAACCTCCCCAGAATTGTCAGACCGTGAACTTTACAGTCAATGCCACTGCTGCGACATTGTTTGATGCCAATCTCAATGAAGCGAAAGTACTGCAAAAGAAAGAGATATCATTACACCAACAAAAAAAGGAAAGTGATTTACTTACACCAAACTGATTATAATTTAGCCATACTTGTACTCGCCTTGATGTACAAATCTCATTACAAACAATCAGTTTCACCAGTCAATTAATTAATACTTAAAATAGTATGGGATTTTAAATATATCCTTGAATTTTATTTATTTATTTTTTGTCTTTTGTCAAAAAAACTTTTTTGTACTGGGGCAAAGGATGAGCAAATAATGTCTGAAATATATAGAGTAATGAAACTCAGACTCACATCATTCAGGTCCTGTAGAAGTGTAACGATAGACTCAGATGATGTGATATTGACTGCACGGATCTCTTTCATGGAGTTTAATGTATCTCCAGCACTAATAACCACCAAACTTGGCATGTAGCTGGAGTCAGAAGGTTCCACCTTCATATACAGTCTATGTAAAAGGATGTCTGTCTGCATCTCCAGTCGGATCCAGTGCTAACACAGAGGAAATGAATCACTGTTTTATATGTACACGTATCTGCTTTTAGATGAGGAATTAATTTCAGAATCATTTATAAATTAATGTTTTAAATTATAAATTTGAAATTTGTTTTAAACTTTGCTGGTATTCCGAAATTGAACTCATTGCCTTTGGCAAAACTACATGTACAGTATTTTTGGCTAACCTGCATGAATGTACATGTACAACAAAACATCTAGAGTGCAGTTAGTGCATCACCATGAAGAAAGAAACACCTCTTTTTAGCATCATGTTCACATTTCTTTCACACCTAACCCTGTAACCTCTCGCCTTGCCCTGTGAACCTGAACTAAGCCAATATCCATTGTTTCCATTCATTGATGAGTCTGTGACCCTGACGTAACCCTGTAACCTCTTAACTTGTCCTGTGAGCCTGAACTCTGCCACTAGCCATTGTTTCCATTGAGGAGTCTGTGACCCTGCCTAACCCTGTAACCTCTTACCTTGCCCTGTGACCCTGAACTTTGGCAATAGCCATTGTTTTCATTGATGAGTCTGTGACCCTGACCTAACTCTGTATCCTCTCACCTTGCCTTGTGACCCTGAACTCTGCCAATAGCCATTGTTTCCATTGATGAGTCTGTGAGCCTGATTTTCTCGTGAAGATACCGTGACGGCCTTGACACATGAATGCCAATCATCGATAATGGATCTCGAGGACAGGACACCAAACTTCCGCCTCTGTTTGCCAGCCTTACCAGCAAAAGAGGGCTCACAATCTACAGAAAAGAAAATTCAGAAAATAACTTCAAGTTTTGATCCAATCAGCAACCTGTGCAGCTCACATGAGAAACTCTGCTATCTTGTTTTGCTACTTGAATTAAAACTGATCTCAAATTGAAACAAAATACATGTAATGGATCACAGCTTTAAATTTTGCTAATCTTTTTCAAAAATATTTCGTCCATTCAATCTCAAGAGAAAAAAAAGTTTCTGAAAAAAGCAGAGTATTTTTTCCAAAAAGATCCATTAAAATATGCTTCTTAATAAAATATCTTTAGTTACTTGTGCTAGAAGTCTTCCATTATTCAAAAATTGTTACCTGGTTCTGATATTTTGATGAAGGCATGACTGTGTTTGTGTTTCTTGATTCGGAAGCAGTTTTCACACATGTCATAACTGGGACATTTCTGACATTTGTATCTGGGGCCCACTATGGGGAACAGTTCACATTCATCACACCTAAAACACAATTCCAAAGAACTTCTCCAGTATTTCAAAATTAGTAGTACAAATTGATCATCAATCACAGAAACATAACTCTCAGGATTTGGAATTAAATTTTTATTTCTTTTTCTTTTCTTAAATAAAATTTTGCAATACAGTCAACATAACTTGTTTGAAAGAGTTAGGTAAATGTATTATACCCTACTCCAGGATGAGAACTTGGTACAATTTCCATTTCATCAATAACCCCTGTCCAGTGAGATTGCTGTGGAAAGTCTACTGTAAGATCTCGACCATTGGCATTGATAGCTGAAATAAACATACAATAAAAGTCAATCAAGTACAAGGACTTTATTTCAAGGGGTGTGTGACTCCAAATCAATGTTTGTGCATTCAAAGTACAGTACTAGAGATTCAAGGGAAGAGGGGATGAGTGTGATTTTTCATTAATTTTTACTCCAAAATATGTATATATGACATTCTGTTAACTAATTAAAGACAAAAAATATATAAACAAAGTGAAGTCAGTCTAAATGAAATAGCAGAATGTTGCAACACACTTCATGGACAGTGTCCACTGAAAGTGCTGAAACTCGTCCAATAAATTGAAATCCAGCAATTTAGTACAATACCTGTAACAGTTCCAATGCAGTTATGAGACACGGACCCCCACTTGTAGGTGGGCGTGACCACGTTGGGTTTGACATGAACTTTGTCTCCCACTGAGATTTTCTGAGTGGAACCAGTCTCGTTTCCCATGAATCCCAGAATCTCCACATGAATATATCGGACCCAGTATGTTCCACCTTTCCTCTGCCAGTCAGCTTGGATGTTCAAGTCATGAAGACCATCTCTGTCAAGCTAGAATATCAGAAGTATTTCACATTAACAATTCAAAATTGAAAAGGTTTGAAAAACTTATTTCATAATGGCTCACATTATCCCTTTTTTGCAAATAATGTCTCTATTTTTTTTTTACCTTAACAACTTTTCCAATATCCCCCTCGTGAACCTCTTCATAAGTGCGGCAACACCTAACACTCATGTTGGGTTGAATGGTGTCTCTGACATACATGGCATACTCATCATTACTCAGGAAATCGGCCCGTTTCTTGTACGTCTGTTGTGTGGGAGCCGCTGGTGGAACTATTCCTGCTGCTTCATTATTCAAACTCTGAAATTATAACAAAAATGTAAATCGGAGACAGATTCTTCTAGTGCCAGATATTCCTAACCCCAGATATTCTTAACTCCTCACTGATTCACCAAAAAATTTTGAATCCCAATCACATAAATGTATATTGGCATACAGATTAAATTTTCTAATTCATATTTCATCTAAGACATTTAATAAATTACCCCATATGTCACAACCTCTGTGTTAATGTCAAAGGAGTTCTCTTCCTCCAAATCTTCGGATGTGGCATCAGAATCCGTGGAATATTCCTCCGAATCACTATCGCTGTCCTCCACATCATGGACGTTAATCTGAGGGTGTTCAATCAGCCACCCTACCAGGGCCTCAATACTGGGCTGGTCAGGATTAGGGACCAAGGATGAGCCCCCTTAAAGCAAAAAATCATTTATTTTTTTAAATTTCAAGAAATTTACCATAAATTTTATACTTAATGCCAATATGATGATGATCTCATCTTATACATGTACTTGAAAGATCATGTCAGGAATTACCAGAATTTAGAACCTTTCAAAACATTGCACCTGCACTTAAAGTTTTAATAATTTCCCAAATTTTTATTCCTCAAAACTCCTGGAAATCTTGATGCAATATGATATTTTTTTTGCAAGTTGTGTACATTTATTTGAATTAACTTGAATCAGAACTTCTTTCTCTCATTATTTGGAGAATTACATTTACAGGTAATTTAATCAAACAACACCAATTTGACCAAGGATCACTCACCAATAGCCTTCATTGCCAGCTTGACATTTTTCTTTGGAAATCCCATTTCCATGAGCTGTGTCACCACTGGACTAACCTCTGGTTGAGGTTCCTGGTTTCTGGCTTTCTTCGGTTTATGAGGCCGGTTCGTGTTATTGGGCACCTCAACAGGAGGTCTGATGGGAGGAGCCTGCTCGTTCTCACTCTCAGAATCTGACGATTCAGAATCATCAATTTCCAGCTGGCTTGTGGCAGTCAAGTACTGAGCAACTGCCAAGGCAGCACCCTGTGAAATGAAGAAATATTTAACATTAGAAATTCTAACTTAAATCCCTTTCTGCATAACTGTGTGTCCATTTCACTGATGAATTTCTCAGTCATCCTTCTTAAGAAATATGATAATTGAAAATCTACAATCTACACACACACATTTCTGATTGCTTTCAAAACAGATTTTGATTGCTTCCCTGGGTATTTGGAGAATGACTGCATACACTTAATTGTCTGATAAACATATCTTTCAATTTGTAAAGCCTTGTTAATCATTATCTCACCTCCAGTTCTTCTCTGGAGAAGACGGCTTTGATGGGAGAAGGCTGGGTAGCCACACTCATTAACTGCTGTAATATGGTATTCAAAGAAGATGATTCACTCTCTGGATCCTCATCACTGATCTCTTCCACCCCAGCTTCCACCTCTGATAATCCTTGATCCACCACTGAAATTCCACTGAGGATCTGTCGGAGATGTGACTGACAAGACAACAGGACTCTGGAGGCTCTGAGCAGCCCCAGCTTTAGTTGCTGTTTTCGAAGTTCTCTCACATCTACACCACTGGCTGCTACATATACAAAAAGTACATGTACATTACTTATTAAAATTCTGCTGTATAAAATATGGCATTTTATTACATATTTATACTAAATATAATATCTTATTATCTTATTATCTCAACTGATACAAAACACAACAGATTTCTACAGTTGAATTCTCTTCAAAGTACGTCATTGTATTACTTGTTGTTTGATTTTTTTCGTGCATATATTAACTATAAAGTTTTTTTTCATCTCAACTACAGAGAAAAATGTGAACTATTCTTTGCATGAACCCTGAATATAATATATCAAACAATATTGTTATACACATTATATACCCACACTGCATGTCTCATATTGCAGGATACTTATATTGTGCACATACTAGATGTAGTTATTTTCACATTTTCAAAATTAAAAAAAATTGCTCTATTCTAAAATTGTGATATATCCTTATCTCTAAGTATTTACTATCTAGTAAACATCTTGAAAAGTTGATTTATAGCAGAGTTAATTCATAATTAAGACCTTGATCTACTTAATTAACTTACAGGTACGTTCCGATTCTATACTGGCAGTGCTAGAAGCCAGAGGTCTGTCTTTGGGGAAATCCTTCTCCATCTTCAATCCTGTTCCTGTGTAACCAACAATGGCTGACCACATTTTGATGACATCTGGTGTCATCTCCAGCTTACTCACACAAAAGTCCTGATTCACAGCCTGTAAACATATACACGTAATTAAAAAATTCTTAATTTTAATTTTAAATTTAACAAAGAACATACATATAACCTCAATGTACAACTAACATTGTGGGGAAAATAATTGAAAATCTGAAGATTTCTCAAAGTCCAAGAATAAGAGCCATTCTCTTACCACAGCTAATTCAGTCAATCTACAAGCTCGCAAGCTTCCGTCATTAAATTGCACATGGATTTTTCCTTTTGAAGTGATCTTGGCAATAGTACCACTGCCATAGTCTTCATGTTCCACCCTTCCACCTAACCTTGCCCTGTTATCAATTCCACCAATCACGGCTAGGCAAGCCAGAACAATTGGCAAACGATCTACCAACACAGTGTCCTCAGAGAGAAGCTCCTAAAAATAACATGAGGTTTCTAAGAAATATTTATTTTCTTGATAAAATAAACAGTTAACCTTGGTCATCATTAGAAAATAAGTGATCAGAGAAATAATTGCAAGAGTTTTCTAACAAACTTCAGTTACTGGAATGATCAAATGTTAACAAAACTTTCATTCCCTTTATTTGAATGCTGTATACTAGCTGAAAATTTGTCTCCAATTATATTTTTGCCTTGAAACAAGTAGGCAAATTTAAAACAGGGCGAATTCAACACAGAAAGTTTTAGCTTTTAAAACAGCTGTCTTGGCCAATTTAAAATGGGACAAAATTGATTGCAAGTATAATAGGGTGAAAATAACACATGGGCAAAAATAATCCTGTATACAGTATTTCCAGTGAATTTCTATAGTTTGGGAAAAAAAGACAGAATACAACAAAATCAGGAATGGCTAAAAACATTCCTACAAGCTAGTAGGTACATGTATTTATATTCAAAGTAATTCATAAACAGATAAAATCCCAGATTTGGCCAGTCAGAAATAAGCTCTTTTACCTGTGATGGACAGACTTTTTCCACCATCATGTCTCCAATGTTTACAAGCTGATCAGTAATGAAGGTGTTGATGTGAGAGTTCCAACACTCACTGACATGGAGGGTTCGTATCAGACACACCAACTCCTCCCCCAACGTACTGGTGTAGGAGGCGGTCAGGGAGACTGAAACACATGGCTTGTGCCCCTTCCTAAGAACATCATCTAGAAGACAAAAAACACCAGCATTTGTTCAGAAATTATATGGGGTCTGTCATAAAAGAAAACTCCAGCCATAAAAAAATCACAGAAAACCGTAGATCTAGCTACATAGGTTTTGAAGATATTTTATACATGTAACTGTTCTTACTCTGTGAGAATAGCGTAGGATCTGCAGAACATCCCATGATGACTTTGCCCAGGAGATTAAACAGCCTCTGTACGATTGTCTTCACTCGTGTTTCATCTGTATTCTTACTCCAGTGAGGCAATACTGACTCCAAAAACCTCAGAATCAGAATCTACAGTTATACAATGTTCAATGTTAATAAAGTCAAATCTAATAAATTATTACAGTAATGTTCATTGTTTTCTATTTGTTTCAATGCTTCCTATTCTGACCTCTTCAGAAACAACAGGGCCACCTCTTGATAAGTAAATTAATAAAACTGAACTTAACTGAGGTTTATTTAGTGAATACTTGTCAACTGAAGGCTTATTAATGGTCATCCTCAGGAATTATTCTGATCATTAGCCATTACAAAATAAGAAAATTTGCTGCATATCTTAAGTTTGTACAACAGCATCAAAATCAGTGATTTTGAGGCATTTCTGAATACTGTTTCTTTACTTAATCTTGTTAATTTCAAGATTATAATTTCGTCCAACCTGCTTAATGATATTTTTGGTGGGTTGGGATGGCTTTTCATCCTCCAGTATTTTTAGTAACAGATCGATCCACTTCTGTGAACTGAGGGCTTCACAGATGACTGGACTTGTCGCAATTGACCGAACAAAGCCAAGCGTACACCAGCTGTAGTGCTGTTCACTAGCTATCTGTGTAGGGATGTAGTTTGAATCTGAAATAATCATTTCAATCACTGTCCATTGCATCAAATATCACAATTTGAAAACATTTTTGCCCGCATTAACACCACTATTGTTTGATAAGACACAGAACATTCTTTTACAACTGTAACAAATTGTTATACTGCAATCTCTTAACAGACTTAATTTTACACATACTAATTCCATAATTGCATCCTGCATCCAATATTTTCCTCATTAGGCCACACAATGCACTGATAGCCTCTTTCTGAGCTTGCTCTGCATATATTCCACATGACAGCGAGAGATTGCGCAATAGATAAAGAGTTGATCGTCGTATTACAGCTGTTGGATGCCTACTCTCTGCTTTCACAGGGTCTGCATAAAGTAAAAGGAAAAAGACTGGTTTAGCAAATAAATGCACATTCAAGCGAATTACTGTAAATGTTAAAATGTTTGGGTGTTAATGATTAACCCTTTGGAGGGGATAGAATGTAAGCATTTGATTTCTGTCTTGCCTACACTAAAAGATATACAATGTACTATACATAATATGATTTCTAGAAAAATACACATTAATTTTCCTATTTAGAGATACAGTAAATGTATTTTTTCCACAGGATAAAATTCCCCAGAATCATAATTTCTGTTCAATCCACCGGTAGAAAATTCTGCAGATTTCTTAGATTGCCACTATTTGTCATAACTCTGGGACAAATTCCCATGGAAAATCTTGCTTTTGTCAGAAAATAGCATTATCATATCTGTTGTCGGCACACAGAGAAATAATAAAATATTGTGGCATGATCCTAGTTAAGACCAAATTTTGATATTGAACTGGCATGATGTTAGTTAAGACCAAATTTTGATATTGAACAGCTATATCAGGAGAGCAGTAAAGAAATTCAATGCATGCCTGTCAAAGATTGGTTTATTGGTGTATTTGAAAAGTGCATTAAATGTCATGAAAAGTGTATTGCTAACAACGTTAACAGCCATTTCCTTGAAAAAAAAAATAATGCTGATATTACATATTAATGCCCCATGAAACTATCTTATATTAATATTTTCTTCAATTATTCCTTTACTAAAAGAGATATTGTCATGATAATTCATTTTTAAAAAAATAAAGAAGTTGATTGTTGACATAAACCTAAATAACTCTTTTTTTCTAAACAAAATAAACAAGGATGTTTACAAATAGATTTATCTGGGATAACCTGTGTTGATTTTACCTGTTTCCAGTTCCTCATCTTCATTATCATCATTATCTGGCATTTCTGGAGGTTCGGCTAATTTGAGGTCATATTTCCCCTCCTTGCCCATCCTGTAACTGTTAGTGCTTCCAGTATCCCAGTGAATTCGGATCCACCCATCATCTCCCAACTCCCCAATCACTCTTCCCAGACTGGGGGGAGGACCATCCTAAAAAAAAAATTATCACTCCTGTATCTGACTTTGCCTTTATATGCTTACTTTCTAAATAAATATTCATTGTCCTCTGATCTGTTTCCCCTGACCTTTCTCTGTTTGAACTTACCTGATCCCCCCATTTCCAATCCACGCCCCTCATAACACGAGTCCCAATCTTCATCATGGCCGCCAGCTCTGGGCCTGAGATGGGGACGGGAGCTGATTGTTTCTTGTGTTTCTGTTCCTCTAACACAGCACACATGGATACCATGTTATCCTGGAGAACTCTGTCAGGATCTGGTCCTTAAATAAAGGAAAACAGCTATATGTATTTGCAAGGAGTACTTATGCAAGGGCCACAAACAGAAGTAGAGTAGTTACATCATTGCCACAATTACATGTAAAATAAAGTCATCTAATAAATCTGGATTGGACAAGAGTCAAAATAGTTTCACTTTTTTTCAAATTTCTTTCCCATTGATAATTCTCTTGATTATTACAATCTTGTAGATTTTGTCTAGAGTATATTCCTTCAATAAATTAATAACACAGAAATATACTCACTTTCATACATATTCTGTATTTACATAATTTACAGAACATTCTGTTCTCCATTACTTTGATGAATCATGCCATAGCTTCTCTGTGACTTACCAACAAGTCTCATCAAAGTCTGCGACAATCCAAGAACCCCAGAATTGAGCAGCAAACTAAGGCTGCTTGACTGGTGCTCTGATACCAGAATTCCCAGCATGGCCAATATAAAGCGGGACTGAGGCAGTGCTCCTAAACTTAGTCTCTCCTGAATAAAACAGCCAATGAATTAACATCAAGTGCTACTACTAATTACAATCAATATTCTATTTATTTTTTTTTTAAGTTATCAATTACAAAAAATTCTATCAGTAAATTATTTGAAATTGGATGGAAAAAGTTTAAAGAATTCTTAAATATTTCAAGAAAATCTCAGCACTACTATATACATGTATCAAATGAAAATACAACAATATAACTTCAAACATATTTTTTAAAGAGTAAATCTGTACCTTGCTGACGTCAACTGGAGGAATAGCAGGATTTATCCCCCTTGATTTGAACTTCATGTCGGCCTGAATCACTGCTGCCCTCAATTCTTTGATAGCCCATTTGTAGAGATCAGAATATGTCATCTCTAAGAGGATTCTGTCACAGGGGGGTATCAGCTGAACCCCTGACAGACAGTGAGGTACAGGGGGACTGAAAAAATTTAATAGAAATTCAATGATGAATTACAGTACTGTCCAGATATACTGCTTATTTTCACTTTAGAAATTTGTAAATGTTAGTCACAAAAACATGTCACCTTTTTTAACTAGCTTAATAAGAGTATTTATCCAAACATTTTAATAATAATTAATTCATATTTTTTTTAATTTTTTTGTTTTTACAACAATGGTATTTAACACCAAATCTCACACATGACAAAAAAAGTGAAATAAAGTGATGCAGATCAATACTTTAACCTCACTGTAACATGTCCAAACCAGAAACCTTTTTTATACTACATGTACATCTGTTTTAGAGCCATTGAAATATGGCTCATTATTCCTTACCAGACTCGTTGTCCAATGGTAAGCAGGCCCTGCCATCCACACAGTATGGCATATTTACAGGAAGCCAACAAATAGTCACGATGTATGAGGGACAGCATAGTCTGGATCCCGCTCAGTCGCATCTGAGCCCTCTCCACCTTAAAAAAAAAATACAACCATTGCTAGATAAGGTGTAATGATGTCTGAAAATCAGTATATCTCAGGACTTATTAAGGTCCAGTTTTATTGTATGGACTTGTGTAACACGTGTTTTTTGCCTTTGTCAGTTTATAGTAAAACAAGAATTTATTTATCCAATTATTACTATGAAATTAAAGTATGCTGTAATACTACTTTTAGTCCTGAAGATTTTACAGAAGAAAATTTCAAATCTTCCTTTTCCCTTGAAAAACCAGTTTTCACAGAACAGTTACCTGATGGTGCAGAGATCGCCTAAGTTTTTCAATGTCAATAGGATGTTCATACAACACAAACTCTATAATCTTATTCAACAGTGGCATGTCTGTTATGTGTCCAGTCATTCTTTGTCTCAACCAGCGGAACTTCTGGGCACTTGTAACAGTACTGGCAATATCTTTCCAGGAATCTTGCTGTAAAACACATCAATAACTTCAATAAATTTCAAAGAAGTTGCATTACAAATAAATTTTCCACTATTTAAGCTGACCTTGAATCAGAAAGATTATGAAAGAATAGCTACAAACCCTCCTAGTTCTGTGAACTTTGACCTTGTGATCCACCACAGTGGCTTCTCCTTCTGGTTCATCCATCTTTTTCGGAGCCCCCCCTTTAGGATAGACTATGACCTCAAATTCATCCTCCTCTGATGGTTTGCTTATCTCTGCTACATCCACATCAGCTGGAACTTTATCCTCTTTACCAGTTCTTTCTCCACTTTCTGCTCCTGGTGCCACCACTTCATTCTCCACTTTGACATCAACTGGCTCCTCCTCTCCTGTCACAAACTCCACTCCAAAATCACAGGCCACTAAATGATATTACAATAAATCTTAAATCTCTATTCTATTTCTTACATATTAGTCTAAGAGCATTTTTTCAAGGACTTATTCATGATATGTCCTGTTGAGGAGTTCTATGCTAAAATTTACCATTGTCTTCTTTTTTAATATCTACTATTAAAACATAATAAACCTTAATGCAATTACAGATTTAAAACTCTTTGACACAGAAGAATGAAGGCAATCTGTATTTGCATACACATGCCTTTGCATCATGTTTAACGAACTATCATTTTGGTGGCAATCATGAAATAGAACCTTAACAAGCAATATATGAATCCCACTAAGTCCAGAAACAGTACCTTTGGTCCTTTTGGACCGTCTCTTGTCTTCCATCATTTTCAAGGACACCTGTTTCCATCGAGGTATACTTTTAAGTAGACAGGATCGACTCATAGCGTTGACCTCGTTACCTATGGCCGGCCTCAACTCATTGAAGAGAAACCTACATCTTTCTATGACGGGGGCACACACTTCTTTGTAGGACCGCCCTTGTTCTTGGTGAATCTACAGTTAAGCATTTCTTTTTAAATATTCCAAGTAAAAATACAGGGGCACACACATCTCCTTGTATGACAACCCTTGTTCTTGAGGAATCTGTAGCTAAACATTTAAAAAAAAATCATCTCTTAATGCATTTTTCATGATGATTAAAATTAATTTTCTATTTATTTAACTATATATTTCATTCAAAGAATATACTTTAATTAATGACATTACATAACCTGGTGTGAAATTTTTAAAAAAAAAAATCAGCACACATTAACAAGAAAACTGTTAAGCAATCCAAAGCAACTTTCAGTTTCATAGTTAATACAAAGTTACAAACCAATTTCATTTTTAAACTTCATAGATACATTGAGGGAAGATCAAAGGAAACAAACATTTCTAAACAAGAGGCCCAAGGGCCTTGAATTGCTCTTCTGATAAACTGTACAACCTAGCACTTCTATTTGAAGCCTCTAAGTATCCTGTATATTTAGATAAACCCTTGGAAATCCAAAGGTAGGTCATCATGACCTACATTTTAGATGAAACACTCTGAGAACCCAAGATGATTCCAAGCCAATCAGTACCTGAGAGTTGGTCATGGTGACCTACTTATCACTTGTCACTCTCTGAGGACCCAAGATGCATCAACTAAATTGGATGATTCTAAGCCAATTAATACCTAAAATATTTTTAAAATTATAACCGCAAAATTTCAAAAGTAGGTCACAGTGACCTACTGACATACTTTGAGGACCCAAGATGCATCAACTGACAAAGTTTGATCATTTTTAGCCAATTAGTACCCGAAATATTTAATTATAGTCATATAAATTGAAAAGTAGGTCATGGTGATCTACTTTTCAGTCGACCTCCTCCGAGGACCCAAGATATATCAACTGACAAATTTTGATGATTCTAAGCCTAATAGTACCCGAAAATATTAAATACAGCCATAAATTTCAAAAATAGGTCACAGTGACCTCCTTTTCAGTCAATTAACTCTGCAGACCCAAGATGCATCAACTGACAAAGTTTGATGATTCTAAGCCAATTAGAACCTGAAATATTTAATTAAAGCCATAAATTTTCAAAAGTAGGTCAAGGTGACCTACTTTTCAGTCGACCTACTCCGAAGACCCAAGATGCATCAACTGACGAAGTTTGATGATTTTTAGCCAATTAGTACCCAAAATATTTAATTATAGTCATATAAAGTGAAAAGTACGTCACGGTGACCTACTTTTCAGTTGACATTTTTTGAGGGCCCAAGATGCATCAACTTACAAAGCTTTATGATCATTGGCCTTAAAATGTCCAAATTATGCCTCTTAAACGCTTTGAATTCGAATGACTGCAAAGTTCAAAAAGTAGGTCACTGTGACCTACTTTTAAATAAACATGTTTTATGGCCCCAAGATGCATCATCTTACAAGATTAAACGATTCTTACCCTCTCAGTACTTGAATTAATGACCTTAATTGTTTTAAGAAAGATTACCCATAAAATTCAAAAAGTAGGTCAAGGTGATTTTTAATCGACGTACTTTGAGGACCCAAGATACATCAACTGACAAAGTTTGATGATCATAAGCCTTAAATTGTTCAAAATATGCCTCTAAATCATTTTGAAAAAGAATGGCCGCAAAATTTAAAAAGTAGGTCACCGTGACCTACTTTTGAGTCAACATGATATGAGGTCCTTAGATGCATCAACTGACAAGATTTGATGATCATAGTCCTTATAGTAAGCAAATATCAACATTTTAATAAAATGTAATTTTTGGTCATTTTTGAAGTGACCATGAGACCACGCCCTTTGCCCCAGGGTAAATCCCCGTGCAAGTTTTAATCTACAGCATATCCTCATCCTTTTGTGTAAGTTTGGTGATAATCTGCCCAGTGGTTCTTGAGAAGAAAATTTTTCAGCAACCAGTACTTTTGTTTCTATTTTCCTAATTATCTCCCCTTGTTTAAGGGTCACAACCCTAGTTTTATAACTAACAGGAGCCCTTGGGCCAAGGATACCCTGTGACAAATTTAACAATAATTGGCCCTGGGGTTCTTGAGTTATGGCTCATATTCTAAAAAGTTTACGGACACCGCACAAATGGCCATAGCATTAGCTCTTTGAGCCTTTGGCTCAGAAGAGCTAAAAATCCTCTGTACCTGAATCAGACTTCGCTTTGTCTTGCTGACCACTTTGAAGAGTTCAGATATTGACTTTGGAATGGAATGTTTGGTGTGCTCTTCTTGTTCAACTATTGCTATTGCTGCATGTCCTAAGTCATGGTGCTTTAGAAGAACTGCCAAAAGGATCCTGAAAATAAAAGTGAATGAGAAATGGACTCAGAAAATGTCTTTTCATACCTAACTGCACCTTGTTAAAAGGCTTTCCATAAAATTTAGTAACAATTAAGCATTTTTTAAAGACCTGTGAACACATTTAGAGATTCTTAGTTGTATTTTTTGTATTTATCTGTAAGTTTACACCCAGAGACCAGTCTATAATCTTCACCCAGTGCATGTGTCAAAGTAAGCTTTTAGTAATTAAGGATAAATGAACCCTCTGCCAAGAGAGATGACTCTTAACATTTATAATACAGTATATTAATATAAATTCTTGTAAAATTTCGACTCTTCCAACACATATAGAACTCAAATTTTGTCCAGTATGGTATTACAGAAAAAAACATTTTAATGAGCAATGGGTTGTTTCTCCTTGGTGCTGAATGTCAAATCTGATTCCTAAAATAAAACAAGAGGTACTGTGAGCACTGAGCTAACAAAATGATACTCCCAACTCCCATAAGAGTATAATGATAAAGTGCATTTCTTGGCAGTATGTGAATGGTATTCTGTGAAAGTTCCAAAGAATTTCATTCTGGGCTTTACGGGGAGTTGTATTAACAAAATAGATACCTCTTTATTGAGTATAATGGCAAAGTCCATGTTTTGCTATGAGAAACTCCAAATATATGGCCAATCACAACATAAAATAAAAAGGTGCACAACGGAACTTTGCAATAAAGATTCTGTGAAAGTCAAATTAAATTTTGTTCAATGTTATAGGAGGAGTTGTGGATAAGAGATGGGTACCCCAATATTGTAGAATGAATAGCAGTATCTATGTTTTGCAATGTGAAACCCCAAATAAGTGTCCGATCAAAACATAAAATGAAATCTGCACAATGCCATTATGTAAATGTATGATTTTGTGAAGTTTCATTAAATTGCATTCAGTGGTGTAATTAAAGTTGCAGATAAAGTATGGCTACCCCAAGTGTTACAGATATATGGATGGAAGGACATACAGACAGACACCTCCATCACTATATACTTCCATTTTTCAAGCAGAGTGTATAATAACTTTTACTACGTACCTGCTGACCTCCTCCAGGGGGTGATCTAGAGGAAATTCCAGTGCGAACAGATGATGATGCTTCTGGTACTTCTCCATCACAGATAGGAATGTTTTGACCGCAGTGTCTTGGACACGGCCCTCTGCCAAGGATGCTAGGAAGGGGCGGGATGTATCAGCCTGTGATGCCTGTCTGTCAAACAGCTTCTCCTTCTCTGATAGGCCAGGCACATGTCTGACCTCAGAAGTGGGTGTGGCTCCTGTGATTTTTGAAAGATGAATAGATATTTGTACAAAAACACTTGTAAGATAATTATGTCTATGACACAGCCTGCACATCAAAGGAACCATAATTCCTCAGACTGTTCTTACCAGGAGTTGTTCCCCCAGAAGCAGAACCTCTACTCTCTCCCTTCTCCTCTTCAAACTGATTTTTGGGTTGTAAAACTTGTAGTCCCCCAGCAAAGAACTCTGATTTCAGCCAGTCATGATACTCCTCTTCTTCAGCTGACCAGGGCGTTCCCCTGGCCTGGTACGCTGCCTGAAGGCCAAGAAGCACCCCCAGGGTTCGTTGAGTGTCTGCCAGTGGGGACGAAGCAGTGCTTGTGTCAGAAGTTTGGACAATGTCTTTCTTTGGCTGTTGATTAAGAAAAACCTTGACTTCTTATCAGAGTTTCAGAGTATTATATATATGGCTATTTCAAAGTAGGGGATGATGGTTCAATTTCAACCGATGATATTTTTGTACTGAAGATTTGTTCAAGTATGTCATAGTCTGTTATGCTACAGCTTTTAATGGATCATATTTCCTTCGGAAAACCTTTTTTATTCAGATTACATTGTTTTTATATGTATTATTTGTCATAATAAGAAATAAATACGTTCGATTTACAAGATACAGTATGTGTGTTGGGTAACTTTGACCATGCACTGGGTAATTTCAACTGCTGCGCCAATATAAACGGAATAATTTGCCTCACCCCTAATATAACAAAAAAAATATATAAATTCAAATTATTCTTTTGTAAAACATAAAAGACTGATGTAAAAATACTAACAAAAAGAGACGACAATTCTCAAAATGTGACTAATTTGTAGACACCGAATGCACCTATCGACGCTTTTTACTGATTGCTACGAATGTACATGCACACATAGACATCTAATCTGCATGTAAACTGAACAGACTAGTTTTCACTGTTGTAGAACTAGTTTCTACTGTGTATACGTATACATAATACTTTTCTTAACTTTTTTTTTATATGGCCAGGAATTCTTTTTGGTAAAAGTCATATTGCAGCAGATTGTATTGCGTCATTTTTCATTGGTCGAAGTTACCGGTACCCATGCAGGGGTAACTTCGGCTGATTTCTGTTCAGCCTATTTGCATTTTAATTTGTAAAAAATAAATACTTGAAATCAAAAAGGCATGCATTTCAGTTGCAAAAATATATCCGTTAAAAGTCACGTAAGGGATATCCATTAATTAACTTTCTATACAGATTTTCAGCAATAAAGATTTCATATATTGGCTAATAAATATGTGAAATACTCATCTGTAATTCAAAGCCTCTTCTTGGATATTTTAATATTCAACTTAACTTAATTACGCTCATGGAAATAAAATTATTATTGACACAATACTTTAAAAATACATTTTGTTTCTGCATAAAATAGATGTATGTACACAAGAATAGGCTATAAACAAAATATATTTTGGTATTTATGAATGGTCGAAATTACCCCGGTGGTCGAAGTACACCACCCAACCCTAGTAGAGCATTGTCTTGCATTGTGTAATACATGTACTACCATAATAAGCATCTCTATCTCAAAATGGGAAAAATTACGGAAATATTTAGGGTAGTAGTTAGGACCTTTTCATCAAACTGACTTATAATAACTTTGAATACACCCTTTTGAGAAATTATAATTGCAGCTAAAATGAATGCTCTTCAATAAATTTTTTTCCCCTCTTAAATCCCTTACATCAAGGTACTGTCCCACATAGAAGGACTTCATCAGTTCTCTGGCTTCATCTGAATGATGTTCCAACTCAAAAGCTTCTGTTGCATCTTCGGCTGAAAACACATTTGAAATACAGTTTAATAAATACTTTATACAGTCATTCTACCCAAATAATTGAACTTTTTTTAAAGTAAAAATGAACATGTTATTGTTCGACAGGGCAAATTACCTGCAAACTGAAGCAGTTTCTCACTCCCACATGGAGCCTGGGCTTTAAATTCCTGTATGTCGTACACTTTGCCATGGATCACTACCCATAATCCTCCATCTTTGTTTTGATTCTCCAGGTCAGGTTGACGAATGATATTTATGTCCTCGCTTGATTTCTGTGTGTATTTCTCCAAAGTGTAGCCTTAACAGACAGGAAAAAGAAACTACTTAAATTGATCACAAATTCATTCTTTTTCAATGTATCATTCTTTCTCATACATTTCAGCTGGATATTTCTGTATCCTGTATGAGGCATATTTTCCATTGTATCTGATTTCAACAGCTCATCTTGTCTTTTACTTGTCACCCTAGTTTTGAGTAAAAGACATCTCTCTCTCCACCAGGGTTAAGAGTAGAAGACAAGATCAGTTGTGGGTATATTTTCATCCTTTTAAATTTCTTGAAAACACTTATCTAAATTAATCCTCTTTATAGGTCAACTTACTCCACACCCCTGGCCAGGCTAGATCCTCCTTGTCATCTCGGTCTAGTCCTGGGGCCAGTTTGTTGTAGGTGTCCAGAATGTCCAGTATTTCCTCCAGCACAGGCACTGACCGAGAGGACTGAATGACCCCAGGGGCCTTCAGCTGGAGCAACACCATGGAGGTCACCATCTCAGGTAGCAGGACACCTGGACAGGAGAAATAATTAATTCTTCATGAAAAAAAAAGAGAATTTTTTTTTATTATGGAACTGGATCAAATCTCTAATAATTCTTTTACAACATTTTTAAAAAATTGTGAATATATATGATCCAATATGACCCTGAACAAGTCATCACCTGAACAAGTCTTTGAAAAGGGGTTGGAACACCAAATAGTTCCAGATAATTTCTTACACTAGATATGAATTTCTCTCTCACACGCATGTGTGTTCAAACAAGACAAGAAGGCCCACTGGCCAAAACATGCACCCCAATCACCTCTCTATCCATAGAAATATGATTAATTGAAATATATATGAAATCCCTTTTCATAGCCAACAACTCAGAATCCAAAGTTTTAAGAATTTCAAGTTTCAATTACTAGTAACAGTATACTGAGGTTTGATGTCAAAACAATGTACAAGTTAACATTGTTATGTTTTTAAAATTAATATCTTGTTTTGTTTTCTTAAATCTATGAATAGTGTGTGTAAAACTTTGATTATAGAATATAACTGCAGTCCCATTCTAACCTATAATGATTTTGGAGAAATGTGTTATTTTAGAATTGTAACCGTTATTTCACACAAAAAAGTACATATATGTCCAAATATGTATACAGTTAAACTTCGGTATCTCGAAACGGATATTTCGAATACCATGGATATAAGTCATTTTGAAGTCCCAACTACATATTCCTTGAGTATTTTACCCTGGATATCTCGAATCCTCGGCTATCTTGAAATATTTTCTCCTTCGAGGTTGAGATAACGAGGTTAATTGACTGTGTATATTTTTTTTTTTTATATGTTTTTTAATATTTTTACAATAAAAAAAATTGAGAATTCAAATATTCAAATGACTCAATTATTATAGTGCTTATTGGTATACAACATATGACCATACATATGTACCTATAACCTCATTACACAAGGCACATTGAATTAAGGTAGACGTTTCTATGTGTTCTTACTAGTATAACTTTAAACATATACTGATACACTATAAATTGTCTATTCTGGCACCTGTGCAATTTGTTTCTCTGTAAATTCAGACCTTTATTTTCTTTTCATTTTTTACACTGTGCAATCCGACACCCTCATCTATTCCGACACAAAATTTGTCTCCCAGTGTATGCTGGATTCGACAGGTTTTCCTGTACATTTGTTCAAATTATTTTAATTGTTGTCATGGTCTGTTGCCTTCATTTTGCTTCTGCTTCCAGCACCTTCTAAATGGTTATCTTTCATAGGGTAACTTTCAACTCTATTTCCACAACCCCAGCATCTTTATTTTCAAGTTTTCTGTGGAATTTTTATCAATAGGTACAAAAATTTCACGTTTGTTTGATAAGGTTTTAAGTGATAAGTATTTCTTGTTCCTACAATTTATTCATCTATCTGTTTAAAGAACTTGCAAGACCTTCTTCCCTTTCCACTCTTTGCACTGTCTCTAGCTGTGCATAAGTGTGCAAACCTTGCATTGAACTGCTGTTATTTTGTACCCTTTTCCATCCATTTCAACAGCAGTACTGTATACAGGGTTATTTTCGCCCCGTTTTACACTTGGAAATGATTCTGCTTTGTTTAAAATTCGCCCAATCAGAGTTCTGTTTAAGAAATTGTACTGTATTTCATGATTTCGCTGCATTTTAAATTTGCCTACCTGTGAGTAGGGCTAAAGGGGTGAAAATTTCCCTGTATACAGGATATGTATTACTTGTTTTGGTGTTTTTTGACTTTTTTAACTCGATCCATGTACTTTCCCATCACTCTGCATTGCAGTTCCCCTCTCCTTGCCATTTTTATTCAGATGTTACTTAAAATGCTATTTGAACTTCATGACAGTAGATCACTGCTATAGCCCCCTCTGGTTTCATTGGTAGGGGACTAGTAATATTTGAACTTAATGACACAGTGAGTTATATGGAACATGATGCAATTTTTAAGGACACTGTATATAGGAAAATGATGCAATGCTTATAAACAATGGCAATATAGACACTGAATTGTCAACAGATTTTTCTGTAATTTATTGATCATGACAAGGAGCACACGATGGGTGTGACCGGTCAGCTTACTCCTCCATGGCACCTGATCCCACCTCTGTTTTTGGAGGTCCATGTTTGCTCTGCTCCCAATTTGTATTGTTTTAATAGACTTTGAGCTTGGATATTGTTCGTTATCTCCATATTTCATACAAATGTGTGTTGATTTTGTTTCAGATTCACATGGCTTAAAATACATCTTGAGTAAATTTACTCTATTTTAATTGAACCTAATTGTGTCCATCTGTGTAAATTTTGCACTAATAGTAAAAATTTTCACACGCAAATCTTGCTTACCCTGCTTTCAAAAATAAACTTGGGTGCAAAATTTGTGCATATGTAAAATTTGCAGACCTTGATGATTATGTTGACAGCACATGAATGGAGTTATGGTCCTGCTATTCTTGATAAGATTTTAATTTTTTTCCCCCTATATACATGATGTATATTCTTATGTTAAACTGAACTTTTTATTTATATCTGCAGACATGATGATGCATCTGCATAGTTCATTGTTTCAAAATGATTTTTATTTCATTTGCATTCATGTTCAAGTTTGCTCTGCCCCCTGTGGCTGGAAGAGGTCAACAATATGGATTTTGATGTTCATAGCATAATATCATCGATCATGTTACAGTTTTGAATGATAAATGGCAATATTTCATGAAAAGAACAACCCTAACTTTTTTTTTAAAGTGTGATAAAAGACTCTTTTAAATTTTTATCCTATATGATTCTTCTTAATTGTTTAATGACAGCCTGAAAGGACAAACCCAGAGTTGCATATCAGAACTGTTGAACTTTTTATCTGCTTTTGAAATACAATATGACCTGATGATGCAATCTAGGAGCAACTAAAACTTGACAAAATATTTCATCATACTATGATGGATCCGACACAACAACACACATATTTGTAAAATTTAACCCTCCCAAATTGTTTGTAGAGGGTCAAAATGACCCAGAAATTTCTAATTTTACAAAAACAATGAAATCAGGCAGTCCTCTCTGACCTTATATGAACCTTTATTTTTAGACATTATCCTGAGCGGTAACTATCAATGAAAACAAACAGATGTCTGTATTTGATTAAAGATAACAAGGTGTATAAAAGTCAAACATTTCATGTCTAAATCAAATCATCAAAATGCATCACACTACTACAAGCAGTTTTGGATTTCTTTTGATATTTCTGAGTACAAGTCCTTTCTTCTTCCATGGAACACAAACCATTGCCACAGCAACCTCTAGTGGACAAGTGGATTCTAAAGTTCAACAACGGCTTCTTCATCTGGAATCAGTTTTAGAATCAGCAATAAAAGAGCTGACAGCCGTCAAACAAGAAAATCAACTGCTTCAACAAAAGCAGAAAATGGCTGAACTCAAACAAAAAGTCCATGATCAGCAGATTCAGAAGTTACAACAATGGAACCAAACAGTCCAAATGAAGATAACTTCCCTGGAGAATTCCCTTAGAACTGTGCAAAGAGAAAACAAAATGATGAAAGTTGAACTTGATCGTTTGAACACTACCTTGCCTCTCTTACCACAAGACACCATACCCATGGATAAACTGCACAGCCTCAATTCAACATCCATTTTCTTATTAAAACAAAATGCCTTCATGAAAGACCAACTGGAAAGTCTGAATTCTAGCTTCATACACTCAAGTCTTGATGCAACAAGATTGGAAAGCACACTCACTGAGAAATTTATTCGAAGAGTCAAAGATGGTGAACAAGAAATGTTGAACAACATGTCTGCAATCAAAAATGATTTAAAAGTCCAGGAGCAAAATTTATCCCTTTCACTCTCGGACGTAAAAAACAAAATGGCCACAAAGCTAAGCTCCATACTTCAGCAACAACTAACACAGGCAGAGCAACAGAAACTTACAGAGTCAAAGATCAAGGATGTCACACAGTCTCTTCTGCACCTGCAGAACAACAGAGCTGCACCAGCAGGTATGTATGCACAACTGACCTTCTTCAAATATTTAAATTAGGGATGTCAACCAGGGATCGAAATTAACTTTTTTGACCACTAGCTAGCAAATTTTAGCTAGTGGAATTTTTATTTACTAGCAATGTTGAACTTTCACTAGCATTTTTTTTTTCTTCACATAGTATAATTAACATAGGAATTATATGAATAATTTCAAAGAAAACTAATTTACACCTTGTGAATTAATTTAGGTCGTTTTATACAATATGAAATCTTAACGGATACAGGGGTGTGCCATTTAAAAAATTCAAGCACTAGCCCACAGACTACCATCTTCACAATGTTAAGGCTTTGTGATTTCGGAACTGGAGTTCCGAAATCACAAAGCCTTGACATTGTGTGGATAACAGACTAGTAGCAGCAATAAAATCACTTACCCCAAGTAAAAAGTTACTAGCTCAAATGTAGGGAAAAAAACTAACAATGAAAGAAAAATAGTTTATCATTGAAAAAGTCAGGGTCTTAAGGTCATTCTTTAAAATTTTTTCTGGTCATTGCACTAGCTCATTTAAATTGAACCGAAAATCTTTTTTTTTTCATCTTAAATCATTTATTACTGGAAATATATTTTTTGAAAATCACCTAACACTTTTCCTCTAATTGATTAAGTGATCGTAAAATGGGATATCTACATATATGTATTTACCATAAAGAAAGAAATGGAGGAAATTCGGATTTGGAAAAAAGCGATCGTTTTTGGAAGTAAATAAGTCAGGTAGTACTGCAAAATGGATAAGATTATGGAGATAAATTTATGAACTATAGGAGCATGCTACCTTGATATTTTTCATTGTTTTTCTCATATTTCAAAGTGCATATTTTTATTAAAAAATTATCAAAAAATGTAATTTGAATATTCATCGCCCATGTCTATACAGTAATAAACGTCACCTACACAAGTTAATACCCGTTATCGCCTGTGGCCGTGTACATGTGT